CGGTCTGTACAGTAGAAAAACCATTACACCTATGGAGAGTCCCCACAAGGATAGCTGACCAGACTGTGTTTGTGTGAGAGTGTGAGTGTGTGTGTGAGTGAGTGTCTGTGTGTGTGAGTGAGTGTGTGTGCGAGAGTGTGTGTGTGTGAGTGAGAGAGAGTGTGTGTGTGTGTGTGTGTGAGTGTGTGAGAGACACTCTCGCACACACACTCTCGCACACACACACTCTCTCACTCACACACTCTCTCTCTCACACACACACACTCTCGCACACACACACACGCACTCTCGCACTCACACACTCTCTCACTCTCGCACTCACACTCTCACACACACTCTCACTCACTCTCACTCTCACACACACACTCTCACACACTCACACACACACACTCTCTCACTCACACACTCTCTCTCTCACACACACTCGCAATCACACACTCTCGCACTCACACACTCTCACTCTCACTCACTCTCACACACACTCTCTCACTCTCACACACACTCTCGCACTCACACACACTCTCTCACTCACACACACTCTCTCTCACTCACACACACTCTCTCTCTCTCACTCACTCTCACACTCTCTCACTCACTCTCCTCTCTCACACACACACTCTCGCACACACACACACGCACGCACTCTCGCACTCACACACTCTCTCACTCTCGCACTCACTCTCACTCTCACACTCTCTCACTCACACTCTCACACACACTCTCACTCACTCTCTCACTCTCACTCTCACACACACACACTCTCACACACTCACACACACACACTCTCACACACTCTCTCACTCTCGCACTCACTCTCACACTCTCTCTCACACACACACACACTCTCGCACTCTCTCTCTCACTCACTCTCACACTCTCTCACACACACACACACTCACACACACTCTCACTCACTCTCTCACTCTCACTCTCACACACACACACTCTCACACACTCACACACACACACACACACACACTCTCACACATACTCACACACACACACACTCTCTCTCTCTCTCTCTCTCACACACACACACACACACTCTCACACATACACACACACTCTCACACACAGAGAGAGAATGGGACACACTCTCTCTCTCACACACACACACACTCTCACACATACACACACTCTCACACACAGAGAGAGAATGGGACTGTCAGGTATCACACAATAACACAGTCTCCGCAAACCAACATCTAATTAACCTCCAGCACACCAAACAAGGCAACAGAGCCTCAGTAAAATATATAAACACTCTATATTTGGATACCGGGTCAGTTAATAATAGATGTCCCGTCTGAGTGCGAGTGTGTGGCCGCGTCTCAACAGCTAGCGAGCTGCCTCCCCAGACAGCATCCTTCGAGACGCTCGGCTCCAGCGTTCCATTCGAACGCTCGAAAAACGTGATGTCTAGGAAGGCAGCCCGCTAGGTTTTGAAACACAGCCACTGTGTCCATCCATCCAGAAGAACAACAACAACTGCGTGTGTGCCGCCACACACCAAATCAGCCACAGAGTGCATTACATACACGATATACGACCACAGGACGAGAACAGCGGTTGAGAATCACGATTACATCATGAGAGAGGAAGGTTATAATATCTGTGTGGACTGCGCTGCTCGCTGCTCGCACGGCCTTGAGTCCCAGCCGCCCCCGGACACACAGAGTCACACGATCCTGCAACGTTAACACAACAATCCGCACTGAATCTCACTCTCGCTCACGCGTCTGCCCGTGTGTGATGATGAACGGCGCCGATGGGACGCGAATATCGCAGTTCGACGCGAGCATCTTTAGCTGCTAGTCAGTGTAGCGCAGCGGCGAGCAGGCCTTTTCATCATCACATTCATCGTGCGAACGCGCGGCGCTATTTTCCGCGTTCCGACGCGCGGTAGACGCGAGCTGACAGGCGCGTCTTGCTGGCGGGATCGACGGCAGGCAGGGCTGAGGAGGGTGAACGGTGTTAGACGAAGTCTGCACTTACCTAGCTTTACTTTCTACGCCATCTTGGATCCACTTGTCAGCCTGTCGCGGTGCATTATGGGTCAAATATTTCTGCGCACTGCTTCCTGCCACAGCGCGGAACACACTGCAGGACTCACGCGAATCTTTCAGGGTTGTTGTTTTTTTTTTTTATGCTCATAAACAGTATACAGATAAACAGCAATACAAATATCAACAAATAAAAATGTCAAAAATAAATAAATAAATTAAAAAGGGGGTGTTTAATGCATTACACACTGGAGAAAGTTTTTTTGATACATTACAATGTTTTTTTAAAATTCATTAAAAGTAGGAAAAGAGTTACACACAGATAAAGTTTTTAAAGCTTTTTTGTTCTTAGACAACTGGATCAATGAACGGCTTTTGTTCGAATTCTTTCCTGAAAGCAAAAAAAGAGGGGTCTGGAGTTTATTTGAGAGTCTGTGCATCTGTGAATGTGGACTTCTGCAAGCAGCAGAATCAGATTCTCTACATAAAACTACCGCACACTTTCATTATACATTTCACTCCGAATGAGACCTAAAACATCTCGCCGACATGTCTCTGTAAATGGACAGCTCCAAAAGAGATGATCAACTGAGTCATCACAAAAAGAGCAAATGGAGGGAATATCACTTTTGAATTTCTTCATGATTTGCAGGATAGAACTTATGAATTATTTTGTAAGAAATCTCCTCTACTTTGTAACTAGCATCCACATGTTTTCCCAGCAGATGTTACCCACTGCATTAACCCAACAAGCAGTCACCGCTGGCAGAAATATTAATATCCTGCTCAAATAATGAGCGCTTTTCAGCTTTTTATTTCCAGGGGCCCGCAAATATGACGGTTCCCTCTGCCACTCCCTTCCTAAAGTATAAAGACAGCTGTATAGTTTCATGTAGAAAAAGCCATTTATATTGATCTAGGCCTATGTAAATGACTAATAATTGGCTTTTAAATAAATAAATAAATAAATACAATCTGGAAAATGTTTACTTTTTATTATATTGACGGTGTGTTTTTCCCCTACTCAATTATTAGATGTATAAACCTCAGACACATATTTTTTTATTCAAAATTCAAATGGATTTTCATAGAACTTCAACTTCACACTAATTTTTTTAATTTACTTATGCTCACCAAGGCTGCATTTATTTATTCAAAAATACAGTTAAAGCAGTAATATTGTGAAATTTTATTATAATTATAAAAGTGTTCTATTATTACTACATAGACAGACAGACAGACAGACAGACAGACAGACAGACAGACAGACAGACAGAAAGACAGACAGACAGACAGACAGACAGACAGACAGAAAGACAGACAGACAGACAGACAGAAAGACAGAAAGACAGACAGACAGACAGACAGACAGACAGA